TAGGAAAATAACCAGAGGTGGGTTTCAGCAGGTTCTGACCAGTTCTGGAGAACCGGTAGCGGGAATTTTGAGTAGTTCGGAGAACCAGTAGTAAAAATTCTGACTGGCCCCACCCCCATCGATTCTCTGCCTCCCAAGTCCCAGCTGATTGGGAGGAAATGGGGATTTTGCAGTAACCTTCCCCTGGAGCGGGGGACAGAATGGAGATTTTACAGTATCCTTCCCCTGCCATGCCCACCAAGCCATGCCCACAGAACCGGTAGTAAAAAAAATTTGAAACCCACCACTGAAAATAACCCAGTATCCTGTGAGTATAAACTTGATTCCCTCTCTGTATAAATGCTAAATGCTGATTAGCAACAGCAAGCAGAAAGAGAATGGCAAAGCAGAAGTGGGCTGCTTGTTTACAGAGGCTGACTCCGTCTCGCTGCCTGATGTTGATGTCGCAATAATCCTCTATGTAGACAAAGCCAAAGCCATCTGGGGAACAGCAAGAGGATTTTAGAACAAGTGCTGGAGAAGCCGACCTATTTGTAACACAACATGGCTGGTAAGTCGTATGTCCAAATGTCAAATCGACAGGGGATTCTACGAAGCAGACAGAGAGTGTCCGGAGCTGGCTGTTCACATGTTGGTGAAACACACACATTTCACTCAGCCTTGATGAGGAAACCTTGATTCAGGTTTCCTCATCTGCACTCTACATTTTACAGAAAATGGGCTGTCTGCTAAAACTAAGCAAGGCTATGGCGTGCACTTGAAAGAAAACTGGGATGCCTGTAATTGTGGAGTCCGTCTGGCAAGAACAAAGAATGCTTATTCACAGAGCATATGCACATGTAACGCTTGTAACCATCCTAGGTGGTTAGAGGACTGATAACAAAGATTTGGACATCCTGCATTACTAAAATGTTTATTAGAAGATTTGTTTTACATATCCCGCCTTATCCCGCTTTCCTCTTTAGTGAAAACGTTTTCTTAATTCTATTGTTCAGAGTTCCACGGCATTTTCTAGCCAGGACCCCTTTTCTTGGAGCACTTCAATAAAAGGAAACAAAACCTGCACCTCGTGTCTGGTGTTCTTCATCAGCTTTGGCACCAAAGCTCGGACCCGAATTGGAGACAACAGGAGGAGGTGTTATACAAGTACAAGTCCCTTCACTTTGTGCTGGAAAGATAACAAGAAGCACACAGACTAAAGAAATTGTGTGTTAACGTCTTATCAAGTTCTGCTGTTTTGCTATCATGCAAGACCAAAAGGCTTATTAGAGTTTGAACAACCTTCTAGACAACCTTCAGTCTGATTCTCTCTTGGTAAATCAAATTTATCATGAATCTGTTGGATTTCTGGAATTAAATTAGGAACCAGATGTTCCCTGCTAAAGCTACAGCTTGTAAGATTGAGGTCATTAATTCAGTTCCAGCTGCTGGACATTTATGCTTGAAATCATGTTTCCATGATTGATTGATTAGTTATTTATTATAAATGAGGAGTCAGATAGTCCTCATTGTTACTGGCAACACAGTGGTGGCACTAAGCTTATAAAAGTATGTTGGGCAGACAAATGGGCTTACATTTCACTGGTGACTGGCAGGGAAATGTACCACCCCAGTCCCATTCTCTGTGGAATAGAATTCCCTTTGCCAGACTGCTGGGAGAAAGCCTGTGAAAAGTGTTTTGTTCTAGAAATGATAAGTGACATTCCTCCGATAGAGAAACCTATTTGCATAGACAGCATTCCTATTTGCCCTTTAATTATAGATCTCCAATTGTGTAATCTCCCAATGATATTTCCTTTTAGATATTGAGGATGGCCCATCAGCAGAAGTGTGTTGAGTACTAGACCTGGTAGATTTCATTGGAATTGGGTACCAACAAATTTAAATAGATCCTGTAAATACCTATCGTTTCCCCAATTGCCCCACTGTAAGAATATGGATGTCTAAGGAGCCTGGCCTGGCATGAATTATTACCAATCAAGGACTGTTTACTTAATAAGGATACTTAGCATCCTATAATTTAAATTATCTCATATTACAACAGAGGGAGAAACTAGGCACACCTTAATATTGCCTGCTTAGGATATTTGTGTCAAGGTATCAGTGTCAATAAACTAATTAAGGGTTAAAAGCAGCAATAAGTTCCCATGTACAGGAAGGTGTACCAGCATTTATATAACAATGCTTTTGAAAAATGGAAAACTGGTTTCTGTTTTCAAAAGGCTTAAGTATTTAGTCCTTCCTGTTAATATAGAAAGTAGGAGGATCATTGAACATATACGATGGGCTAAACTGAAGGCTTTCATTCTCACAGGAAATTGGATATATTTATAAGTACATCTGAATTTAGTTCCTGCACTGATCAGAACCTGAAATATAACAGCAGACATGTGAAGGAGAAGCCATTCAGCTTTAAAGCACCAGCAGCCGCATCAGTGATACTCTATACAGGTAGTCCTTGACTTATGACCAGTGGCTTAGTGACCATTCAAAGTTACAATGGATCCCTCCAAAAAGGATATGCAGATGCTTAGAAGTCAGGGACTTGGCAGCACAAGGAAACAACAGCCAATCACCAGCCATCCAAACACCAATCAACCAATAGGAAGGCACCACATAAATACAACTCATAGAATAGCTCAAAGCACACACTCTGTTAGAGAGAAGTTCCCTGAAGATGGGCTCCAGCACGAGTCCGAAAGCTCGGAAGACAAAACCTTTGGTCCCGGTGACCAACTCAGATTGGATCTTGCAACACTTGCTACTCTTCTACATGCTGGTCTCTGACTAAACAAAGAGTTAATGATGACATTTGTTAGTCTTTATTATTTCTGCGGTCAATCATAACATGGAAACATTAATATTTATCACTGATGTGAAAATATCAGATTTGGCAAGAGGAGCTTGTATGCTGTTGGGACTTCAAAGTCAGCATCAAAGAAGCAGTTAATTCCTCCCACCTTCTTCACTGTATAACAAATCTTATCAGTCCAGGCTCAATGTGTAGATCTCTCCATGAATTTTCAGACAAAGAAAAATTAGGATTTGCAGATTAGAGTCAGGCGGCGAAGTAAAAATATCAGGAGGGGACTGATAGCACCTTTTCAGATTAACACATTTTAATAAAAGTCATAAGCTTTTGTGAAGTGCAGCTTGCTTCATTAGATATATGAAGTGACATCTGACTTGTGGTTAAGATTCTGGATTAGGACTAGGGAGAGCCAGGTTCTAGTCTTCCCTTAGGCATAGAAACTGGCTAAGTGACTTTGGGCCAGTGACTATAGTCTTTGCAAACCCTAGACAGGAGAGTAAAAAAGAATCTACCTGCTAAACTACACTGGACCAGCAGAGTAGATTGTAGTCCACAACCTTCAATGAAGAGCCTTATCCTGCAACGGACAGATTTTGGATGATGATAGTGATGACAATTATTCCTGTTACTTATAATTTTAAGGTCCATTTGGGGGCCTGAAATCTCACTCACTAAAAGACAGAAAGAGAGTAGTTTAGTCATTACTATTGTCCAGTGTCTCACTCTCACACACTTATTGGTTCTCTGGATAGAAATTGCATATTTGTAGAAGTTGCTTTCATGTAAGATTTATCCAAGCATCTTAAATCCTCCCCCACCCTCCCAAAAAAATCCCACTGCAAGGAGAAAATGTACAGTACATGGGCCGTTTTATGCACATATGGCTGTTAATGTGCCATCTTGAACTTTGTAAAATGTTGGGGCCTCATCACAAAAAGACAGTCTGAATGTGCATAACTTGTCTCTTTGCAGATTCTATGTTTATTGAACAAAGGTCATCTGTGCAGTGCCGTGGGAGGCGTGGCCCATCCCTGTCCTCCAGCTCCACCACACATGCAGGATGAGCCTCCCGTGACAGCCAACCTGATCCTGGGTTAACTGGTTGTTAAATTAACCCCCCACCACCACTATCAAAGTGGATCCCTGCTCCTCCCCCAGGGTGCTACGGTGCAATGGAGAAATGGACAATGGAGAGGCCGGCACGAGGGAAGGAGGAAGGGCAGGGAGAAGAAAGACAGAAACCGGTCTTCTCCTTCTCTTGCGCCAACCACTCCATTGCCCGTTTCTCCATTGCAACTCAGTACAGCGTCCAGGATCCGCTTTGATGGCGGGAAGGGGGGGAGGTAATTTAACAACTGGTTCACCAAAACCGGTGCTAACAGACTGAATCCCACCACTGCATCTGTGGAAGGAACAGTACTCATAATCCTGCTTTATTCCTATGCATCTAGTACTATACAGTATATAATTTTAGACTCCGCAGAAAAAGTTCTGATGGAATATTTTGCCGAAGAATGTTGGAAAGACATCAAAACATGCAGAAAGTATATTTCATAAATGCTCACTTCCAAAAGATTAAATATTTGGAATTTCAGTATTCAGTCCTAATTCAGACCTATGAATTCATATATTTAAGTTTGGAAAGAGAGATTGCAGCGACGATATCTGCAAAAGATAGATTGGGAAATTGTGTCCTTGTGCAGGCACATATTGTGAAATACAGTAGATATCTTTCTCAAATGTTGTCTTTGTGACCCAGCATTATTTAGAAAAAAAGTTCCCGTCCAAGGTCATCATTAGAATCTTGTGTCATCTAGTATTAATAGTTTTCCAATTATTTTTGTTGTATGACAGCTGCAAATTCTAGTTAAGGATGCTTGGGGGAAAAAATAGAGCTCTTTTTTAAACGGGGGATGTTGGAGATTATAGTCCAAACATCTAGAAGGTTGCCAGCTGTATATGTTGAACTAAAATATCAAATATGTATGCATTTATGGACAATTTCTGTGGAAAAAAAGAAATATTTAAATAGGACCAGCAATTACAGTATATAAGTGAAAATTGTTTGACACTGCTTTTTGCAATATTCATAGCTCAACACAGACAAATGCTGTAAAAATATGGAAAAACTGACACAAGTTGAAAAGAGAAGCATTAATCCAGAAACATTAAATAAGCAAAAAATGGAGCCAAGTTTATTAAACAGGTAAAATTCCTCCTCTCTGGTTTGGAAAGAAGAAAACTGGCTGATGTGCCTAAGGAGAAATACATAAATGCATTATAACAATTTGCAGAATATAATGTTACAGCATGCTTCAATTTGCATATATGCTTAACAAGGTGGATAAAATCTGTCTCCAGGCCTTAGAAATTTAAGTCTGACTGTAAAGCAGGCATCTCAGAGTTCATGGAACTTTTGCCACCTAAAGCACTACGTGTCTGGGCAAAGTCTAATGAACTGCAGCTCCAAAGAGATGCTTGGATTGATTAGGTCCATTCCGGCTGCTCTTCTGCTATCATTAACTGTATCATAAGATACAGCAGAGATAAGCACAGCCTTATAGACTCCTTCAAAGTCTCGATTCCATTTAGGAATGTGATGCAGGCACTACACAGCTTTTTCCAGCAAAGGCCAAAAGGTGCTTCAGAGTACGGACTGGTGCTCATGGAAGTCCAGCTTTCAGAACCTCCTGAAACTCAAAGCATCAACTGTGAAAGTTAGAACAGGCCAAGAAAAGATGCAAACTGCCTAATGGCTTGGTCAACAGCCATCTTGCAAATTCTTCCATGGGCTCCAAAACATTTTTAGTCATTGAATCGGAGACAATGCACAATCCTAAGGGTTATAAAATGGGACATCTGTCCTAGCCAGGAGAGGTGGGGGAACGGACGGATGGATGGACGACCAGTGGCTTTGCAGATGTTGATACACTGAAATTCCCAGTATGTCCAGTTAACTATGGTGAGAAGTGCTGAGAATTTTGCTCAATTGTCATCAGAAAAGCTACAAATCCTGGTCAAAAATGTGTGTGGTTTTTACTGAAACTCTGTAGAACACAATATTATTTAATACATTCTCCATCCTGTTCTCCCAGCCCTTGGACATTCTTTCATCAGCTTCAAGCAAACTAATCACACCATTTTTAATGCATTCCCCATAAATGTTTATTTCTTCTTATTAACAGAATTCTTGATCTGCTGCACTTTCAATTGGTTTTAAATGCTCTGTTTCCCAAAGGAGAACATTTGAGAAACACTGAAAGTCCTTTTGCAAAAAGGACTTTCAAAATGAATTAAATATGATTAGCAGGATTTCTTTACTTTGGTAATTCAGCCTAATCATTGGACTGCAAACTCTCTTCTTCAGATCAGAAAAGGCATCCAACCTCCCCCAACCATACATAAGTATTTTTCCTTGCTTTAAGGTCATGTCCATCTTCCCTCCAGCTACAAATCTTCAAGGAAACTAATTTCCCAGTTCCAGAGTAAGTGATATATTTCACGCAGATTTGATTGATCTTTCTCATTTAAAAAAATTATGCATTGGCAATCTGTGCATCTAAAGCATCAGACTTTTCTTTTCAAATCTAGTGTTATTGATCCATGTCGGAATAATGGCTACATGACGCACCCAAAAAATATTTTAGCTTATGTGTACAATATTTTAATCAATCTTTGAAAAAGCAAGTTGACAGAAATAGCTGTGATTAACGTCTGCTGTGAGCAGAGGGAACAGCACGGATTTTGCTGGAAGCTGCTCTCCCATTATATGAGGCATTTACTGGACTTGGCAATTAAACTATTCCTAAGAATTTAGGAAAAACAGGATAGGGTACATTCTTGTAAACACAGAGATGGTGCCTTCAGATTGTTCCTTCTCCAAAGCAGCCTCGATCCCTAAGTCACCAAAGAGAGCTTTATGAGTTGAGAAAGATAAGAATTTGGATCTCTCTGGTCCTACTCTGCTATACTGACTGGATCACAAATGCTTTTCAACCATAATATAGATTGTTCCATTCTGATTTAGTGTGAAGCCAGCTTCTCTGATTTGTAAACCAAGAATTATAGTTAAGATTAGGATGAATTAGGCCCAACAGTTTCTTCAACAAACCCACAGTTAAAATGAAAATGATATTCCATTGTCTGGGATGTTCTATAATGTTCCCAATTATTTGGCCAGTACAGAACATTTGCACATGTTCACACAGAAGATAAATTGAAGGACATGCTAATGCAGTGTGAGGAAATGTACCACAATGTTATCCTTCAGAGATTGGGTCCCATGCATTCCACATTGTGCTGAAGTGTCAAATGAGGAATAAGTAACACTTACTCACCCATACTTTATAGCAAAACCTATTATGTTCCATTTGTTTAAGAATGTACTTTACTGCAAGCATATAAACACTATTATCCATGTAGATTATTAGATCCATTATAACATCCCCAAGGTGTCCTTCCTTGCCTTGGTGGAGGAAAAGTAGCTTCTGTAGCAAATGTTTATCTTAACTTCATATAAAACATGAACCATAAGTCATATAAACCATAAGTCATATGATGTAGTGGTTAAGACACCAGGCTAGAAAGCAGGAGACCGTGAGTTCAAGTCCCGCCTTAGCCATGAAAGCTGGCTAGGTGATTTTTGGCCAGTCCCTCTCTCTCAGCCCAACCCATCTCAAATAATTGTTGTTGTGGGGAAAATAAATCTAGGAAGGTAAGGTGTGTCGAATATGTTCGCTGCCTTGGGCTGTTTGTAAAATATATAAAGCTGGGATACAAATAAAATAAAATAACATGTCTATTTCTCCTCTTGCCTATTTCTCTGGCAAATTATTGATTTATTCTGGAAAAAGACATACCCACCCCAACTCAATTCAGATTTCAGAGTATTCTGTTGTCTTGACACCCTTAACATCAGCCAGAGACAGAGGTCATATGTGAAAATAACAAATAAAAAGAAGTTGGATTTGTTAAGAGCTAAGTCCAATGTCACGCATATCCTAGCAATACTATACTGTACTGAAATCACCCTTTCTAGCATGCGTCCACGCAAGCTGTCAATTTTGGCTTACCTGACTCCCTTATCCTTGTGCAAACAGGAGAGAATCATGCAAAGTTAGAATACTGGAGAAAGGAAAGATCTTTTTTATACTGATGTTGTCTTTTTCGTGGCTGCACCAGATGCACTTTCGTAAGCAGGGACGAATCCTCTTGCCCAGTGGATACTAGGGCATCCCTGCTGCACTACCATCAACTGGATTGGCGCCTGGGTTTCCATGGGAATCTCCGAAATACACTCCTTACTGGGATCTTTCCCTCGACAGTCATAAAGCACGCAAGAGATCAGGAAAACCAAAAGCAAGATCACATAACTCACAACCAGAATGACCAGGTTCAAGGTCACGGGGTCAAACTCTAGATAAAATTCCATTGGATCCCAGGATTTATTTATTTAGCAGGACCTCTGTCACTGGAATCGGATGTAGAAGCACAAGTGGAGCAGCGGCAAATCTCGACAGATACAGTATACTGAATTTGCAGCAAAAATTTCATCTTTCATCTTGCATGTTCTGGTAGGAGTAGGTTCTTCCACCCTGAACCCCACCCTAATGGCATGATTAAAGCCTCTCACTTTAATAACTTAAGCTCCTTTTTAATTCAATCTTGTCAACAGTGACAGAACCTACATTTGGATGCTTTTCAGCAACGCAGGAATCTGGGATTTTTTTTGTGTGTGTGAGAATGATATGTATCATCCCTCCTATCCTTTGCCTCACCAGTGAGGCTCTCTTCTTCTCCTTTGTCATATAGAAAATGCAAGAAGGAAACAGGCCCCGAGGGATGCTGCTTTGGGATACACAGGGAAAGGGCCACCTTAATTCTGAAGAGGCTTTTTTTTTTTTGCTTTAATTTATATGCCGCCCTTCTCCGGAGACTCAGGGCAGCTTACAATGCGTTAAGCAATAGCCTTCATACTTTTGTATATTTATACAAAGTCAGTTTATTGCCCCCACAATCTGGGTCCTCAATTTACCTACCTTAGAAAGGATGGAAGGCTGAGTCAACCTTGAGCCTGGTGAGATTTGAACTTGCAGTAATTGCAAGCAGCAGATGTTAATCTTGTTAATAACAGTGCTTTAGTCCACTGTACTACAGGCTTTTGTAAGTAAATTGCAGCCATTATAACAATATACTTCAATATTTCAATCCAGATGATCTGTTGTGGTTTCTCTCAAAGGGAGATTCCAAAGGGAGAACCTGCAGATTCCGCAAGGGAACAAGAGCCCAAGTGATTTTCAGAAAGTCAGAGAATTCGGTTTTCCAGTCTATTATTATTTATTAATTAGACTTCTATACCGCCCTTCTCTCGAAGGACTCATGCACGATTGCAATGTTGGAAACCAAATTATAATTCTCGGCGAAAATAATTTAATAGCACTTTTTTTTCATATGTAAACAAACAACACCCCCAAAAATGATTTTAACAAAAGGCTGAAAAATTCAAGCTTAATGTCTGAAGCCCCGAGGTTGTGTTTCATCTCTGCAGTGAGGTCATGTCTTGGTCTTATTATGCAAAGTCCTTTTTCTCACGGACTCTTGGTAACAGTAAAAGAGTTGGAAGGGACATTGGAGGTCATCTAGGTCCAACCCACCGGGATTCGAACTGCCGACCTTTCTGATCGACAAGCTCAGTGTCTTAGCCACTGAGCCACCTAGTCAGGTCCCTCCTCCTGTTTGTGAAAATGGGATAATAATACCGCTTATCTTCAAAGGTGGTTTTTTTTTTTTTTTTTTTGAAAGATCACATCTCTACAGAAAGTAGTGGAGAACTTTAAGACTGGGCATTACCCTTTCTAATTGATTTTTCTCTTAATATAAAAATCCAGAAAACCTGTTGCCACTGTGTTTTCACAGCTTGATGGTGGGAGCTTCAGGATCTGTCACCTGCATCTCACCACAGAAGACAAGAAAGTACAGCCTTGATAGTACAGCGGTCTATGCACCCTGTTGTTAACACAGCTGCCTGCAATTTACTGCTGGTTCGAATCTCTCCAAGGCTCAAGGGTGACTCAGCCTTCCATCCTTTCTAAGGTAGGTAAATTGAGGACCCAGTTTGTGGGGGCAATAAGCTGACTTTGTATAAATATACAAAAGTATGAAGGCTATTGCTTAACGCATTGTAAGCCGCCCTGAGTCTCCGGAGAAGGGCGGCATATAAATCAAAATTAAAAAAAAAAAAAGTGCTGTACAAACATGATGAATTATCAATGCATTTTTTATTTTTATCTGGTCTTTATTACTTTTTTTAATAACTCAAGCATATCTATTTATTTATTTAGCGCATGGCATATCATACATGGACTAAGCAATATATTATAACTTTTCAAGCATACCTAATACTCCTCCTTCCTCCTATTTTCCTCACAACAGCAACCCTGTGAGGTGGGCTTTGCTGAGAGAGGATGATTGGCCAGAGACCACCCTGCCTTCTTTCATGCCTAAAGCAGGACTAGAACTCACGATTTCCCAGTTTCTAGCTTGGTGTCATTAAGCATCTGACCAAATTACATTTATTATAATTAAGCCAACTGTTGGAAGAAATATCTTTCTGGGTTAAGTTCCAAGTGGGGAAAAAGACACTGGAAACCTGGTGGCTGTTTGGAAAGATGGTTTTTAATGGTGGACAGGATCACATGGTTTGAGGTCCTGGGCAAAAAAGGGCAGAGATGCTGAGAGTGCTTGGGTTTTATATCCTCTCTGGGTTTTTGAATTTGAGCTTGTATTCTGATTGGTTGTCAGACTCCCATAGGGCCATGCAGGGGTAACTTTGTAGGTTGTCTGTGTCCCAGGCTTGGTTGAGCCTTGCTGGGTGATGATGTAATGAAAGGGCTTTGGGCAAGTCTTACTATGGCTCTGCCTGAAGGAGATAGATCTTTGTTATGTAGAATAGACTGGCTCAGGCCTTAATGGCCCATTAACAAAGTGGGGGAGGGGCTGAGTTTCTGCCTCCCTTTTAGGGGAAATATTCTGCCCTTTTAATATTTCCTAAAATATCTCATTTTCCTAGGAGTTGGGGGGGGGGCTAACTTCCTACACAACAAAAGCACATTTCTGTCAGTAGGAGTGGATAACATACATTCACCATTGAGGATCAGATATCTGAGAACCTCTCTTTTTTTTGGGGGGGGGGAAGGATGTAGAGGCTCAAAAATGACATTTCTAAGGGTGCTCCTGGGTGATATTTGGCCTGTTAGCTGGGTCTTTGGCTTGAGGGAATTGCAAAACTTTGACGGAGAGACACTAAAGAACATTTGGCAATTGTAAATGGACAGACAAGGTTAAGGAGGAAAGGTCAGTTTGCTTTATTCAAGGCCTCAACAGTGGAGAGATTGATTATATCTCAAGCATACTTTGCAAAACATGGAATCTCAACTTGGAAAGGAGACGAACTGAATCTATCCAGATCGAGGAAACAAGGCTAAGAAAACCCCGAGCTTCTGCTGCATTTCTCCTGGGCTGGGGAGGGAATTAAGGCCGTTAACGTGGCTATTCACCTCAGTCAGAGATCAGAGAGCTCTAAAGTCAATGCAAGCATAATTTCTTCGCAGAGTAAGAAGAGGGCCAAAAGAGAAAAACTACCTTAAAAGAAATGACATAAAAGTTATTACAGCACTGAAAACAAAACACAGCAGGCCATACTGTTTGTTGTGACTGGCCGTTCTAAATTATAGCCAGACAAAATGGCCTCCATTAAGAAGTTCCTAATCGATTCTCATGCAGGGTAAATGTTGAACATAATTGAGAATATCCTTAGCAGATTTTTTTTTTAAGAATTGGGGCATTCTAGGTGTACCTGATTCTATTAAGGTAGCCCATACCTGTCCATTTCTTTAGCGACCGTTTGAACAGCGCTAAAAAAAAGTGAGTTTCTGCACTTATGTACGTCCCTGAAGCATCCCCACAGTCAAATTATCAAAATTCCGGTGCTTGGCAACTGACACATGTTTATCAAGTTTGCAGCATACCCAAGGTCATGTGATCGCCATTTGCAATCTTCCCTACTGGCTTCTGACAAGCAACGACAATGGGGGGGGGGAGCTGGATTCACTTAATGACCATGTGATTCACTTAACAACTGCAGTGATACGCTTAACTGTAGCAAAAAAAGTTGTAAAATTACTTAACAACTGGTCCCAATTGTGGTTGTAATTTGAGGACTAGCTTTGTACTCCATTGAGTACATTTCTAGGCCAAATACATTATTGTGGCAGGAAACATCCTTTTCAGCACAGACTAAAAAGCCCACTTATGTATCAAATTAAAAATAATCACATGGTTTTTGAAGGCCAGGCATAACATTTTCTGTCTAAAAGGAGAACTGAGGCCTTTACTGGTTCATTCATTCATTCATTTATGAGCTAATTACTGTTTCCATTGATTGTATTATCTAGACTAATTGAAGCTGTGCTCGGAATTTCTTTTGCATCACAGTTTTGTTTCTTTTCATTTGTGGGAAAATAATGCTTTCAGATTTCTGTTTTGTTCACACAAGGAAAACTGCAACGAAGTCAGTTTTATTTGATTAGAAATGGTACATTTTGTCTAAATGTACCATTTTGGAGATAAACACATTTGGATTTAAAATCTCACTGCCATAACTCCTGTGTGGAGAGTATCTTCTCTTTTATCAGCTTTTTTCCTAAGAGTACAGGTAGGTACAGTACAGTAGATACTATGTATGGACAAGTGGTGTTGACCATTTATTATCTTTATCTTTCATTTACTCAACATTGTGATTCAAACTCTGCCATTATGTTCTTATATGTGCTATTACAGCACAAGTGGACTGAGCTGGTATTATGATACCATAATGCATTTAAAAAAATTATTTTAGTGTCACGTGGCCAGTTGAAGTCACTGATAGTGTTCTGTTATCACTGATAACAGAAACTTCAAAATGGCATCAAGGTAGGTGAACCCAATTGGAAAGGATCTTGGGAATGAAGCAGAAAAACAGAAGCCTCTTTCACAGTGGGAGGATTGAAGCAACCAAGGCAGAAAACCAAGAGTTGGATACTAGACAGGACCATTATCAGCCAAGGCAGGTAATGTCAAGCGCCGGGGAAATCAGGAGATTCAGGCAATTCAAATGAGTATAAAGATTTATGGCAAGTTTAAGCTCTCTACAAGAATCTGACCAACTGAGCATTAAGGGAAATGCGCAGGAGATAAGACAAGCATTCAAGGTAGGCTGGATTTACATCTCTTGCGGGTGCACAAGGACTCATGACTTATGACACATTTAACCCCTCTCTCAGGTTCAGCCTGCTCATTTCCTACAGCAGGGGTGTCAAACTCGCAATGACATGTTGTTGTCATGTGATGTATCGCAACGTTTCCCCCCTTTGCTAAACTGGGGGTGGGGGTGGCCAGTGCGTGATGCATCCAGCCCACGGGCTTCAGGTTTAACACCCCTGTCCTACAGGAAACTCAGTAATTTCACAGCTACTTCCAAAGTAATAGTTGAAGGTCTTGAGAGAGAGGTTCGTCAGCCCTACAAGGTAGACCAGACTAAAAACCCAATGCCATGCAAGTCAAGACTACTTTGATTGTAATAGCTATAGTAATAGAAT